TTATATTGCCTGCACGGATGGCGTAGAGGTTTAAGCTGTCGCCACGCCGTTTTCTACCACGCTGAGTGTTGTGGGTTCGATCCCCACATGGGATGACACTTTGTGTTATGCACAAATTGTTGTTCTGAGTCTGGGTGTTCTATGTGGCGTTTCATGTATGTTTGTAAAGTTCCCCGCGACACAGGATATATTCCTAATGCGGCCGTTGTCTTTTACGTATAAATAAATTATATAAACTATCTTGAAAAGCACCCAACGTTTTTTTTACGACAAAATTATTTTTCTTTTTGAACTTATAGAATATTATTTTTACTTTTTAGTTCGGAATAATCGGCTAAGTTTATCAAATTTTTGCATTGTCATCGGCCTTTGTGCCAAGCTGCAATTTAATTTGACGTTTTGAAGTATGTCAAATTCACGTTTTAAGATTCCGTTACATACTTGTATACCAAGCTAATAAAAGCGTGTTAAAAAAAAGTAAAAAAATAATATATTTTTTCATTTGTATTTGCCCAACAATCAAAATGCCACGGTACCAGTTTTGAACATCGAACAACCCTTGCAATATGACTTAATATTGAACAAAAAAAATTGATTACGGAAATAAACATTCACAAATATGGCCGATATTATTGTAAATTCTACTATTAAAAAAGTAACAATAATAATAATAATCTATGCTTTCAATCAATCGTTGATTCGTAACCAATAACACATAATTATACATCCAAAAACGAAAAATAAGTTAACCCTTGAATAGTCACGATCGATTCGGGGTCCCGCGCACGTGTCAGTGTAAAGTTTGAAAAAAAAAGATTATTATTAATGATGTTTGTTTGCATTTGCGACGTAATTGGCTACTGAATTGGTTTTTTTCTTTGACCGTTACATGGTATTCGTTTTTGGAGACATTGTAAGTGAACTCAAGAAAAGATACGAGAAAGGACCACCCTATTGTATGTTTTTCGACAATATTTATAGTGCCATGTTCCCTAACCAAGTATATTTGCTTATATTGCTGTGTTTATTACTACTAAATACTTAGTTACAATGTTATAGTATTGAAGTGGTCTGTACGGTTCTTGACCCCTTCTTCTCTGTCCCTAAATGTAACGCCCTGATTAATTCGAAGAGATTTGCCCCCTTTTATCTTAATACTTAATATCTCTCTGAATTACTCTGGGCATTACATTTAGGGACAAATGCAGAAAGGGGGCAAATATCGAACAGACCATTGAAGTATTGCCTATTGAACTTAAAAATAATACCTATGTTATTTTGTAAATTAAATTCTAGAATCGCAAAAATCATGTGATCACCTAACCAGTAATTACATTTGAATTGTCTGACGTTATAACAAACCTAAATTGTGTTTTAGTATATTGCTATTTAAAATTTCAAAGTATATTAAGAAAATAAAAGTTACATGTACAAGACAGGTAAGTGTAATAGAACAAAAAACATCTAAAGAGCAAATTAGAAAAGTGTTGTATAAAGTTGAAAACGTTACATCTATGGCAACATTGAGTAATTTAAAAAAAAAGTTCTAATTACCACAGACATCAAATAATATAATGATACCGTTAAAAAAATGAAATAATGGATATATATTCCAAATTAAAACGTTTATTTAACTTTCAACATTTTAATTTCGGAGGGTAATTTAACGTCTTTTAAACGACATAATAAGTTTGGGAGAAAGTATTAAAGTCCATAATTTAGTAAACTAACATCAGCGATCAAAAAATTTAAATAAAAAAAACATCATCAAAGAAAAAAATAGTCATCAAAGGGTTCAAAAGTGCCGATGTGGCTAAATAGTGTATAGTCGTTTATAAATTGAAGCGCGAACTAAGTATAGTTGACTAAATGGTCACTTAACCCTTCAAACGACTCAGTCTTTAACGATTAAGGCCCGACTTGTTATATTCTAGTTATTAAATGTAGACTCTTTCTTGAGTCGTCAAGTTAATAGAGTGTGTATACCTACCAATCTCAGCAGAATATTGTAATTTGTAGTTGTATGAAAACTGAACAAATGATGGTCGCAAATATATAAATGAATAATATTCTGTACTCTTAGAAATAAACAAATAGAAATACATGAAGGTACATTTCTTTAAAGAAATTTAAATACTAAAAAAATGATTTTTCCATAACCAAAATTTAATTAACTACCCACATACCCACCACATATAAGTTAAGGCATTCAATTATTATCAAATTGACATTAACACAATTATTGGTTTCCTATACTAAAATATTAATTAATATAAATAAATAATTCTAAGTAGAACATGCTTAGTTAATACATGTTTTTTTTAAATTAAGATTTAAATTTGGTATGAATTAAATTTTTAACATCAATTCGAAATGAAACTTAAACCCAAACGAAAAAATCAAAGTTATTACTTTTAAACGATCGCCCTTGAAAGTGGATGAAGTCATTTAGAAGCAAAAATCCCATGTTTGTTTAGCATTAATATTATAATAGGGGCCTAAACGACCCACCGACGGTAAATAAAGGGTTGACTCTCAATTTATTAGGCCAACATATGGGTGCTTTTGGACCAAAAATTGAGTTGATACATTTTTGATTGTGTAAATAAATATCATCACGAAGATTTTAGAGGGGTTAAAAAATCTATTTTGCCTTATGAGACTGTAAAATCTATTCGAATATAATTATACTAAATAGGTTTTGTGTGTGTTCGTTTGTTTAAAATGTCTATACTGTCAGTCAGATTAGAATAATTCTTTTTGAATAATATTTAGGTACTAGGTTCTAGTTAGGCATCGCACGGGTGCAATGTAGATACTACTAATACTACTAATGTGGTTTCAGTGTGGAGTAATTAATTATACTAATATTATGATAGGACTAGACTACAGGACATCTTTAAATGCAATATTTATAGGCCCGCTCCGATCCTGCCGGGCGCTGCCACCCGGGAAGGACGTACGGATCGACTGTCGTTGGGCCCCCGCATTTTAAATCTCTAATATCTTCTAAAATATTAATTTTAAGATACGCTATAAAGAGCAATTCTAATTTATTTCAAAATTATTTTTTTGTATTAAAAGTTAAAAATAGTTACTGTGAGTTATCCTCAGGAGATAGACATATACCAACGTGGAATTTTTTGTACATCTTTTTAAGATATACAATTCCGTAGTACATTATTTTGATCTATCTTGTAAGATTTAGCCAGCACAAAAACATATTTTTTAAATTTATACAATGCGAAGCGATTGATACGATGTAAAGAAGATAGTGTAGGCTATGTAAAACCAAGCCGCGACCTTTAGCAGTAGATTAATGAACATACAAACAAGTAAAACCGAGACAAATGCCTGCTATTAAGTACTATAGGTATAAAGAAAAACTGTCTCGCACAGAAAGAGAATTTAAATACTTTAATCAAGGATTTAAAATCATCAACAGCTGTTAACCGTCCACTGCTGGACATAAGCCTCTCCTTAGAAAGGAGGTTTTGGCCTACTATACCACGCTGGCCAGACGGGTTGGTTTGTGTCAAGTTTTACTTCTCTCTGCAGTGCTGTTGTTTTGCGTAGTTTTTTCCCTTAGTCGTCTCTTACGACTCCCACGGGATGAATAGGGGTGGTGACACTCTGTATTTTTAATCCGTCACCAAACGGATTTAAATATTCACCCGGTTTTAAGGATTTAAATATTCTTAGCATACGATCAAATACACAAAATTACCCTCTTCATTAATATTTGACATTTAAAACGAAGAAGGCCACAGCTCGCCTTGTTTCGCAAGTGTCATATCAAAAAAAAAAAAAAAACCATCAATTTTCATACCACGGTAGCGCGACATCCCGCGGTGTGGCCACTGTGCTACCACAGGGTATCCATTAAAAAAAACTTCGATTGATTTGCGAAAAAAAATGGCGGCCTTCACTTTCGTTCGATTTTGCACGCCCACTCAGCGGTCTTGTGATATCCTTGCCATTATAAAAAATTGATAGATTGACGTTTCAGTTGTTAAAGTATGTGTAAGAATTTAAAAAAACATTTTAGAAAAACAATGATAATCATAATAATCGGTGATAGAGTGATGAGAGCAGCGATCGCTGTCCTCATGTCAAAAAGCAAAAAAAAAACTTGGATTTGTCTTACAATATTGTTGGTGTATGAAATGTGGATTCAGTAATCATTGTACATATATCTGCGTAAGAATTGATACGCCAAGAGCCTCGAACAACACCTTAAGAGGCTCACGTTACACGGCAGGATCGAGGGTCTGATGATGCAAAAGGCAGTTCTCTCGACACGGCCGTGAGCAGGTAATTATTTTATAAGCTCCAATGTCATAGGTCGCCGTGTCCTATGTCAGTGAGCTACCATTATTTATACTTAAAGAAAATGAATAAAGAGAACTAAAATTATAACAACAGACAGAGACACAGAGGCTTAGACAGAGACACTACAATGGCAACAAGAATGCTTAAAAACATACTTATATAAATCTAAATACATACATATTATAGATAAGTTAAGATACAAAATGCAATTATCACATTCCAATAATTAAGTATATTATTTATATCAAACAAACAAATCTTTCATGAACTCTACGGATAGCGTAGTGGTCACCTCGCTGCTTCAAACTGCGCTGAGTATTGTTGGTTCGATCCCCATATTTGACATCACTTTGTGTGATACACAAATTCTTGTTCTGAGTCTGGGTGTTCTATGTGTCCGTTTCATGTATGTTTGTAAAGTCCCTCGCGACACAGGATATATTGCTAAGCCGGGAGTTGTTTTTTTTTTTTAAATAAATAAATAACTCCCTGGATGTAGATTATCGTTAAGGTTTACTTAGTAAGGAAATATTATAACGACACATATAACCGCTAACACACAAAACCATAATCAAAGACAGGACACACAATTGGCAAATGATGCGAAACAAGTCTCGTGCAATCTTTCTCACAAATCACAGGAAATTCTTGATTAAGTCATCAACATTATGTGTGACAATCAGTGAGTACATAAACCGCTGTTATTATAAAGTGTTAATACAGTGTCATTTGGAGACGAAAGGATTATATACACACCTTGTACACGTAGGTACTTGCTTAACTGGCGCAGAGAGAATTTACCGTCTTTAATGTGTATCATCTAATCTCTCCTGCAAGTTTGTAAAAGAGATTTCATAAAAAGCAACGGAAATGCGTAACAATTACCCGAGTTATTTGAATTGACTAATGAGCTCGCGCAGTGCTAGAATTTAGTGCACCAACTCAGACATTTCCGCACCACCCAAAGGTGGACTGGGAGAAAATGCCTGTGGCATTTAGTTCGCCATTGTACAATGAATTGTTGTTTGTGCAAAAAGACTTAAAATAAATAGTAAAAATATTTATCATTGATTTAAACTAGTAATTTTGAATAGTCCTCTTCAACACCATTACTTCGTAGGTGGTTTTGATTTCACACACACCGACTTGAACATAAATAAGTCAATTAACAAAAAGGTTCCTAATCAATTTGATTAAAAAACCTTTTTTACATTGGCAACCGCGAATAATGACACGGCGGGAAGCCCGCGTTCTTTTTGAATATCCAACAATGGCATCCAGCGGCTTGCTCCCAAAGAATGTCATTTAAATAAATGTAGACAAAATTTAAAAAAAATATGCTATTGTATTTCTATCATTTCTGCCACGGGCTACTGAATTTACAGATTAATTAAAACAGTTTTTTTATCGTATCAACAATAAGAAACCCATCAATTACTTAAAAAAGATACCAACATTTGACCGCGCCGTCATTAAATAAATTCAGAAGTAAAAAGTAACCTAGGTGTTATGTGCTTTTCCAGGCTACAGTCTATCTCTGTGCCAAATTTGGTCGAGATTTATTCTGGCGTTCGGGTATGTTTTTCACTTTCCCAACATTAGTATAGATTAATACAATACAAACATACAATGTAAATACTAGTCCAATTATACAACACAGATAAATGATGTATCTGTGTAGTATATTTGATGTCGTATATTTAAGGAGCGGGTGTTCAGTTCCACCCGCTCTTCAAACTAAAACCTTTGCTGAAAAATAATAGGCAATCCTACCATAGACATTAAATTCTTAAAAAAAAAAATACATCCGCCATGCCGCAAATCCTTGCCGTAAATTGTCAAAATGCTCACAATATAAAAAATAAATAAAGTTATTGAAAATAAAATGTTAAATAAATAAATAATTATATTGCATACCCGGCCGTGTTCATCTGGCCGACACGCATCGGGTAAAATAAATAAGATTTGTGAGTATTCATTTTCAAACCCAAACCTCCCTTCTAATAAGAGGCCTATGTCCAGCAGTAGACTATTAAGAACGCCTTCTTCGTCACGCCATACCCGCATTCCCTTATTCTCTTGTTACAGAAGATGGCAGCAGAGATCACTGCTGAATTTAAAGAAAAGGCACTCATGAAAAAAGAGCTGGCTAACAACTTGGCTCATGTCGACGAAGCAGTTCGGATTGCGCCCGGTATCCTCGCCAGAGACAAGCCTTGGGAGAAGCCAGATGCAGATGCGTCTCCAGGTGAAGTTAGGAGAGAAGAGGTTGGTAGCTGAATAATTATTGGTACAAATAAGCATTAATGGCAATTAAGAGAAGCGTAAACACAGCATAGCGTAACGACTGCCTCGGTTGTGCAGTGGAAGTGTATGCGACTGCTGTGCTGAGGTCTTGGGTTCGATTCCCGGGTCGGACCAAGTGTTTGTATGATCTGCAAATATTTATTTCGGAGTTTGGGTGTTTTCTATGTATTATATGAATGTATTTACAAAAAAGGAATTAAGTATTTTATCAGTCAATCTAGCTTTTATAGTATAATAATAATAATAATAATATATCTCACACACTCACACACGGCCGTCTGATCCCAAACTAGGCAGAGCCTGTGCTATGGTAACCAGACCGCTGATAAACATACTTATATATTTCTAAATACATACATATTATAGATAAATTACACCCAGACACAGAACAAATGACCGTGCTCATCACACAATATTTGTCCTGGGTGGGAATCGAACCCACGACCTCCGGTTTAGCAGTCAGGGTCACTAACCACTAGACCAACAGGCCCGTCAAAAGTATAAGCTCTGCTTAGTTTAAAACTAGATGGCGTTGTTGCAAAAAAAAAAACATTGGACCAGTTGTTATGGAGAGTCTTGGGGGCCTTCCTTCAAATTCCATCCAAGACAAATAATTGTGTGTAATTCAATTCAATTCTTTATTAATAAAATATAAGCATCACAGTGAACACCAAATCGCTTATATCTATGTGACTAGCCGTGACTAGCCATTGGGTGACCCGACTCATGACTGCTCGTTTGTCATACCGTAACAAAATATACTTAGTACTACCTAAGGTATCGCCTAGTTTGGACTGGCCGTGGTCACAAACTGACGCACGGTTAAGGGTACTTCCCGAATTAATAGAAATATGTATTACTAGCTGACCCGCGCAACTTCGTCTGCGTCTCTCAATAGTAATAAATTTTCTCCGTTTTTGAAACATTCTTCATTGGTGCTCCGCTCCTATTGGTCTTAGCGTGATGATATATAGCCTATAGCCTTCCTCGATAAATGAGCTATCTAACACTGAAAGAATTTTTCAAATCGGACCAGTAGTTCCTGAGATTAGCGCGTTCAAACAAACAAACAAACAAACAAACAAACTCTTCAGCTTTATAATATTAGTATAGATAAGTGAAAGAGAGTGAAAAAATGTTCATTTCTACTTGAAGGATCCCACTTCATCGTCGTCTTACACCCTGGCAAGCGACCAGAGTCTGTACAGCCACCAGGTGGACTCCTGGCTCCGGGGTGGTTTGGCCCCCACAGAGAACATTGGAGTCCAGCTCCCAAGGTAAGTACTTTTAATATGATTAAGATCTTTCAGAGTATTCTTTAATTTTCTGTAAAGGTTTAGTTTCCTTCCTAGGCTACACCTGGTTCCCTGGCAACTGGTACCCGAGACGGCGTGCGGTTTTTGGTTCGAGGTGGTATCCGAGAGAATTGCCGCACAAAAAAATTAAGTAAAAAGTTTGTTTGATTGATGGATCGGCGAAGATTTCAATGCGAGCTAGAGGCAACGCCGAACGCGATCACCGTGACTATCGAGTAGACCTAGGACCTCTGAGGCCCAAGACCTAGTTTATTTCACACCAACCCGCCTGGCCCGCACTGAAATCTGTACCAAGCGCAACGTTGAATGCGCTCGCTGTCGTGAGCAAGTTGATGTTAAATATACTTGCACTTGGCCCTCAGAGGCTCTCAGATTTGCGATTGGTGAAGATTTTAGCGCGGGCCTCTGAACTCTTCACCAATCGCAACCCCGAACGCAGTCACCGTGACGATTAAGGTGATGACAACTAAACTCACACTAGGGCCTCTGTTACGTAATGATAATAATAACAATAATATTGTATTTATTCCTCTAATCACATGGGTACCTAGGTATAATTTCTGACTGACTGGTGTCTGTTCTAGTGTTGGTGGTGGTTTCTTTGTGAGAATGGTATATTTTATGTTTTTTTTGCAGATTGCCATTTGCACAAAGACCAAACTTAGCACCAACGTCATCGTTAGACCCCACTGGATTATGGTACCTCATGGCGATGATCCTGCCACTCTTCAGCATTAATACCGGTGGGCAATGGAGCTGGTGTACACCTGAGTGAGTTATTATTTATTTAACTAGCGGTGATTTCATTTAAGTATATTTTAATGTCTTCAAATTATGAAAGAAACAAATTTTATTCATGATTTAAAATTTAATTAACCTTTGCTTTGTAACTTGCTTGCCATCTATCGTAAGGATATAAAAACACTTACCTACCTTACTAAGTTACTAGTACTCGTAATAGATGGCGCTGTAGAGTACACAAAAACAGTCTTTATTTTGAGTAGTCTATAAATATACTACTAGATGTCGCTTAAATAATTTTCGGTTGTGAATGGAAATGAATCCAAATGTAGTTAGACAAAAAAATACAATCTTACGACTCTAACTAAATTGATTTTAACACCTTGTAGTGGTTTAAATACAAATATCTAGTATACATTGAATTGTTTTTAATATAAAAAGATCTTCAGAATTTTGAGTGTATACTTTAATTATGAGTACTATTACTACACTCTGTCTATTGGTGAAAACAACATTAATATTCGTATATATTTTAAAAGATTTTTTCGTTAATCGCCAAACGAGACAGAAGAATATGTAGTGTAACTAACTAATAACAAGTCGTGTGTTGATAAGATGTTTCTTCAAACTCCTTCAGAAAAGCCAAAACGTAAAGTAGCAAAATTAAAAACGTGCGGGCCCTACAGTAGTCGCATATGATATGTGAACTCTAGCACCGCACGCGCTTCCTGTTACACGGTTTTCAGGCCCACAGTTCCGTCTCTTTTCACAAAATCAAAGACAACTCCCGCAGAAAACACACAAGGAACAGAGCAACATAGGTATTCTGTGTCACAGGGGACATTACATACATTAATAATACAAGATACACAAAGAACACCAACAATTTGTGGCTCAAACACTCCATTGTGGGGAAGCAACCCACAAAAAATAGCACAGTAGGAAGCGGCGAGGTGACTGCTTAAACCACTACGCCATCGGTGCAGTCAATCATTACTAACCCGAAGACGATACGATAATCATAACTAAAAATTCTGTACACACTTTTCAGGACCGTAATCAATGCAGGAGAACTACTCCTAGCTCACATATCAAGATTCTGTCACGAAGCGAGAGTCAGTATACGAAGGGTAGCCACGGAGCAGTTGGCCAGAGACTTCTTTGCTACAATAATGGACGTGGTCCTCATTATCTACGCCATCGGCTTTCTCATATTATCATTATATCAGGCATGCTTCTTTGATTAAATAACTGAGTCCAGTGAAAAGTGAAGTCAATTTAACTATTTAACTGTGTCACGTAAAATAATTTATAATTTTCCGTTTTGGTACTTTATTAAATTACATGTACTATCATCGAAGAGTTTTATTTAAAAAAAATGAGGTACTTTTGTTATAAAGCGAGTGGGGGAATACTGTACAACATTAATAAGAGTTGATGAAGTGGCTGCAGGTAATAGTCAAGATAAATAGTTAATAGATAGACACTTGATGGTAAGTGACTACCGCTGCCGTTGGACACCTGCAACTCGAGAGGGGGGGAGGGGGTTTGTTTTACTTAATACCGGTTTTCTGATAGGCTGTAACTAATGATATTTTAAGGAAGGTATAGATTGTTCCGTAACCGTACATACATCTGTTAATGCATTTCAGAACCTAAGGGTAAATACAAAAGTACCTAAGGGTAAGTAAAGCTAAAAGAATAGGTATCATACCACAGATCAAACCATATATTATGATGATACACTTACCTGTACTATGATATTCCTGTATCTTTAACTTTTTGTTGTAATTTGTGCACTTTCGGAATACACAGAAAAGCATTTTATGAATTTTCATTAGTATGTGCGCTCGCTCGCAGTGGTCCTAATTAGGACCAAGTCACAGTACGCGTTTTGTGCGATTGTGGCGTATCTACCTCTAGTTTGTATGTAATATCATTGGATCGAGCCTTCATGTATGTGCCGAAGCAAGGCTCTCAAACTAAAAAGATATAGGTATATGTCCTAGATGTCCTGTTGAACTATATATATATATATATATTGGACATATTTAGAGGAACGCAAAAGAGTTAGATTATCAAAAAAAAGCTTAAGCATTAAGTAGACGAAGGTGAACCGTACCGATTATCCGTGTGTTGACGGATTAAGAATACTTAGTGACACCTCCCCTATTCATCCCATAGGTGTCGTAAGAGCCGACTAAGGGAGCAAACCACGCAGGATACCAGCGCTGAAAGAAAAGGAAAACTTGACTCAAACCCTAAACTAACTCGTCTGGCCGTGGAATAGTAGGCTAAAACCTCCTTTCTAAAGAGAGGCCTATGTCCAGAAGTGGACTAGTAAAGGCTGTTGATGATGATTGATTCGGTTTACCGATGAGGTTGTTTTACTTAAAAACAACCTCCCCCGATTAATGGCGGCCTAAGAATGTAATATGTTATAATTCTATAATAACTAGATATTGCCCACGGCTTTGCTCGCGTGATTTTTTGTTTTCTTTAAAAGACAACTTCCGCACTAGGAATAAATCCTGTCGCGGGGGACTTTACAAATATACATGAAACGAACACAAAATACACTCAGACTTAGAACAACAATTTGTTTATCACACAAAGTATCATTCCATGTGAAGATCGAACTCACAACACTTACAGCGTAACAGGAAGCGGCATGGCGACCGCCATTCGTGCAGTGTTTTTGTTTTAATTTTCTTTTCGTGTTTCTAACTTTGAAAATGACAAACTTCTATACGACCAATCATCCCTTGTTTGAGCTGGTTTACATTTAAGGAAACGCTACTACCAAAAATAACGAAGTTTCATATAAAATTCTAACCCTCATTTTGCATCCTTAGAGGTCCTACGTCACATAATGACCACAGAGCTAGACCCAGCGGCTAGCTGTGCGTTGATCGATCAATCAGTGAATCAATCTGTCAGTTTATTATTTTATAGATATAGATATTTTATTATATCCAAGTTGCAAGTTCTCAACAGTTATGCATTGGTAACGATGGTTTTAACTTCCGGAACCATTTGGATCTTAGTTTAATTACCATATCCAAAAAACCGTTGGGAATAATTGATAAATCTAGAATGTGTCCCGATTCCTTACATTTTACGCTACCGTAACGAAGTGTATACCAAGCCACTTGCTTCTAACTTCAGAGTAGTCAACTTACGTGTACTAAAGTGTAACACATAGTAGAAATATTTCGACAATGACTCGCTATAGTTTTCTAGGTTAAATTAACTTAAGAAGGTCAGTACTGCATGAATAAATCCCATGACAAACAAAATTCCAGTGATTTTCACAATATTGTGCAGCGCTGAAATATTTTCAGCATTACTAAGTGTGTTCGTAACTAAACAAACAAGGCTCCGATTAGGGTTGTCTAAAGCCTATTTTTGGTAAGTACATATATTTGACGCCAAGAAACCTCAACACATTATTTTTGTTGTAGGTATATATGATAAAAGCAATTTCGTTTTTTTTTACTATTTATATATTTATTCGCGATATGACATATGAGAAATACACGAATAGCATATATTTACTAATATGTGACGGATTATCGGACGGATATCCGTGTGGTGACGGATTAAGAATACGGAATGTCACCACCCCCCTTTTTTTTTTCCGTGCGGAAATTCCCTCGGGTACCACGCATTGGTGGCATGTCGGACTCGAACCGACTGAAACCGCACGCCGTCTCGGGTACTAATAGCCGGGGAACCAGGTATACCCTAGAAAGGAAGTCCCTTGTGCCCCGATATACCTCGGGCCATCTACAGACGAGTAGACGACCCCCCCCCGTATTGTCACCACCCCTATTTATCCCCTGGGTGTCGTAAGAGCCGACTAAGGGAGCAAACTACGCAGGACAACAGCACTGTAAAGAGAAGGAAAACTTGAAACAAACCCTATACCAACCCGTCTGGCCAGCGTGGTATAGTAGGCCAAAACCTCCTTTCTAAGGAGAAGCCTATGTCCAGCAGTGGACATAGGACTTTCCTGGGACTCGAACTATCTCTATGCCAAATTTCATCTCAATGTGTTTAGCGGTTTAGGCGTGAAGAGGAACAGACACACTTTCGTATTAAAATATGAGCATGGATTCGTAACACAACTTGCCACAAGTCACTAGCAGTGTCAATCATCACCACAATCGTGGGAGAGCCATAGGCACTTCGGCACATATGGGGCGCTTCGACCGGAGTAACGACAACCCACGGCTTCACAGAAAACCGGTGTAAGCAACTCTTGTGAAATACACCGAATGTGTGAAGAGTAGGCCTTATATCAAATAATAAAGTTAAGATGGTACTCAGTGAAAAAAGAAGTGAGGCCAATTAAAAATACGCCTTGGCGTGCACTTTCACAATTACATGCACACTGCACACACGTACAACGAAACTACGGCTTGTCAGTCAAACCGTCATCAAAAATGTCAACAATATTTACAATTAGTAAAAATGCCAAATTGTGTTGTAAAAGGGTGGAAAAATCAAACTACAAGGGATAGGGTGGACTCGCATTTCACACATAAATAACCAATATTTTCAATAAAATACCGGCGGCGCACACACCATACAAAACCGGCCTCACTTAGTTTTTCTCAAAGCTCCATCTTAACTTTTTTATTTGATCTGAGCCGTAGATCCAACGACCTCAAAACGGCCGAAAAGGCGGCAATACGCGAAATATAGGTATTGTAGAACCTTTTTTGTTTTTTTTTTTTTTTTCAGAAATACCTAGTAATACATTTTCAGTTACGCGTGCCAGCCCTGTGAATGTGATTATGTTTGAACAAATGTTAATTCATTACACCCACAATGATTACGGCGTTTCAGGTGTAATTTGTTAAAATAAATTTATTACTATACGTCTCTTAGTACAGACATACAACGCATTGACAGACAAAACAGAAGTTTAGGAAGCGATGCTGACGTCAGTTTTCTGTTTGCCGAACCCTCACTCCTAAACGAGGGAATCGGTTACTGATTTTTGACATAACAGGTTTTTTTTTCATTTTCCTGAAAGCTGTGGGCGACGATTTCACATCGTGATTTGGAACACGAGGTTGAGCCTTATGACAAGAAAGGGTAAACAAATTCACGGCCACTCTTTTGAAGTAAAACATAAAAAAATAGAAAAAATATATGAAAAACAGAACAGCTCACACTACATTTCCACCTTTTTTTTTTCCACCCACTCTCGCTCCGCACGATAGCCGCAATCAGGCTATCGAGCGAGAGAACTCCCACTCCGATGGCCGCCACGAGGTCTCGCCTCTGCTCAACCCACGCCGGGCACTCTGCCAGCGTGTGGAGAGCCGTGTCCACAGTCTGGCCATCGCAGTGGTGGCACTCAGGCGTTGGCTCCTTGCGGATCAGACACAGGTGACCCCCGAAACATCCTTTCCCAGTGATCACCTGCGTCAGTCGGTAAGGGAGGGTCCCATGACGCCTCTCGAGCCAATCCTCCAACTACATTTCCACCTAAGAAGTGACCTGTGCTAAATTAATTAAAAGCATTCTTGTCTTCTATGTAATCTACAATTTCATCTTCATCATCAACATTTCGTAGTCCACTGCTGGACATAGGCCTCTCCTTACAAAGGAGGTTTTGGTCTACTACTACCACGCTGACCAGACGGGTTGGTATAGGGTTTATTTCAAGTTTTCCTCCTCTTTGCAGTGCTGTTGTCCTGCGTAGTTTTGTCCCTTAGTTGGCTCTTACGACACCCACGGAATGAATAGGGATGGTGACACTCCGTTTTCTTAATCCGTCACAACACGGACAATTTAGTAGTAGGCTTTTTGACACTGAGGTGTCTGATGCTACACATAATATAGGACTATTGCAAGACGGGCTCGTTTTTTTTTATTCGCAGGTTTCGAGAGGCGGTGGTTGTCACTTACCATCAAATAACCTGTCTCGGGGGCTCGTTAGTCCACTTTACCTGACCCGCTTGAATTAGAAACGACATAAAACAAGTAATCGGATTTTCGTATTTTTTTTATAATCCAAATTGCCCTGCTGCCCCCTTGTTCCATTTTAAGTAACCTATCCTGTGAAGGTTCTTTCCAAACCCAGTGAGAAGATTCTGGATAAGAAAATGTTTTTGGACTTCTATTCAATGTCCATGGCGTTTCATTGTTGTTTATTGACGGCTTTTAAATTCGTTTGGATTGACATGACATTGTCTTGAAATTTCCCTCAATTTGAATAGAGATCTAAAAGGGTACAGATGATATAACGTTTCAATGATATATTGAAATCTCTTCCTAAGGTGACCGCGATGACCCGTTCGGAATGTAGAATTAAAGTACCATCGACGATAAGAGATATCCTATCAGACATCTGATTATGTCTTGATATAGAACAATACATAGGAAAAATGTTTACATTTTTTATCTATTCTGTTTGATCAACCATTTACCAACCATTTACCAACCTGTATTAATAAAAAAAAATGTAATATCAAAATATTTCTTCATGCACTAGAAGTAGTATCTTGGCAGATTAATTACTGTGGTAGGGAATATGTTGGTTTCCTAATCGGACCAAAATACGATCAGGGAACCAACACTTAGTGATTTGAAATCACATGATCTGCTTCCTCCCTGGAATACGGCGCCAAAGACCGGCTGTCGGAGTAGTTTTTAGTGGCAACACCATATACTCCTGGTTCCTGTGTCTTCCTAGGAGATCCGAAGGGATTTTCCACCCCGTCACCAAAAAAAAAAGGTAGAATGAAAAGGTTGTCCAGATTGGCCACCACGCTGGCCAGACGGGTTGGTATAGGGTTTGTTTCAAGTTTCCATCTCTTTACAGTGCTGGTATTCTGCGTAGTTTGCTCTCTTAATCGGCTCTTACGACACACCCAGGATGACTAGGGGTGGTGACACTATGTATTCTTAATCCGTCACTACACGGATCCTTATTTTGATCCTTGATTTCTTTGAGTGTTTCTAAGGGGAGACCTATGTCCAACAGTAGACTAACAAAGACTCTTGCTAATGATGAAGATGATACCATTTTTTTTTTCAGATTTTTGAAGCCGACTGAAATGACGAAATGTTTATTTGATGATTAACCTAAACCTTATTAATAATATTTGACGGGCCTGTTGGTCTAGTGGTTAGTGACCCTGACTACTAAGCCGGATGTCGTGGGTTCGATTCCCACCCAGGACAAATATTGTATGATGAGCACGGTCATTTGTTCTGTGTCTGGGTGTAAATTATCTATAATATATATGTATTTAAAAATATATAAGTATGTTTATTAGCAGTCTGGTTACCATAGTACAGTCTCTGCCTAGTTTGGGATCAGACGGCCGTGTGTGAAATATTATTACTCGTATTTAAAAAAAAAATGTTCCTAACTTCAAAGTTTTAGCAGTAATATACACGCGTCACACCGTGTCAAATAATACGGAACAAACTGTTTACTTTGGTAATACACGAACAAAAATACATGTTTGTGAATAATTTTACGCTTATTACTTTGCCACGATTTTTTAGATGCAGCTTTAACCTTGATTTCTTTGAGTGTTATCTAAATAGATACTGATTACTAAACACCGAAAAAAAAATATACGATTTTTTTTTTTAAACAATATAGGAGCCAAATCAGCAAACGGGTCACGTGATTGTAAACGATTACCGCCGCCCATAAATACCGCCAACTCAACAGTTAAGTAAAAGAAAGAAAGAAAAATGTTTATTTTGGCAACACTTAAAAAAGTATAGACAGAAAATTTGAAATTCTTTGCCGCCCTTTTATTGCTCTTTGTTGGGCTTTTGTTGGCTCGATAAGTAAATTTTCAAGTTAAATTTGTGTGTTTCAAAATAAGCTTTATGAATCATCCCCTTGGCCGCCATCGAAATGGTTAATATTTTTATTGGAAAATATTTTTCACCCTACTACCCCCTCCCTCCCTCCTATTATTTAATCGATGATTTATATGGCAGAACAACGTCTGTCGGGTATAATATAATATCTTAAAAACTCGATTTTGTTTTGGAGTTAAGATGTCACCAACAGACATACAGTTAGTAAATCGTGACGTGTTTATGTCCTTGCATTGTATGATGAAAACAGCAATAAAACTAAGAAATCTATAACAATAAAGTTATCTTAACACATTACACCTGAAACACCGTAATCATCGTGAGTGTACATTACATGATATGACGTGAACTTGGTCAGTGGTAAATATGGCGCTTGTCTACCATAACTTCGGAGTTAAGAAGAACTTTTATATAAATATCATTGATAATGTTTATTGAAACACTTGGATGATATAAATATTAGGTCCATAGGGTATTAAGCATATTGTGATGGTTACAATATACTTTCCTTTTTTAAAGCAGAACAACATCATCCACGTTTTTTTAAGAAGAATTTAAAAATATTTGCAAAATTTCGTACGATACTAATTTAGCCATCTTCGATTAAATAAACAAGTTTGTTTGTACGAAGTTGCCATGATATTTTTTATTCTGAATTGGTTAGAGGTATGACACCTTTATAAGGAGATACCTATGTCCAGCAGTGGACTATTAAAGGCTCTGGTTAATGATGATGATGATACCATCATTTTTTTACCACGTCAGGCATTTCAAAGGTAAATACTTAATACCTATCGTGAGCGCGTTAATTCATGTAAACATATTTATTTGTTAGAACTAATAATCTTGCTCATCACACAATTCGTTAACCTGCATATTTTGAAAAAAAATATTAATAAAAATAATATTTAAATAATTAAATGTCCCTAAGTTAACAGTGTACGTGTTTTTAGTTTAGAAGTGCAGTATGTAATGAATTATAATAATAGCTCGCATTATTGGTAGAGCGCTCGTAACGGTACACTCACGCGCAGCATCTATTGCGACCAGGTCATAATTTAGGAATGTCTGCTGACAGAGCAAATATAATTTCTTCTGTATTATTATTATTACAAAGACATAAACGACGAGATTAGCAACAGTTAGTATTTTTTTTTATTATTTTTTTCATAACATTTGCAGAAATATATGCATATGTGGACTTAATGCCTAGCCCTAGGGCATTCTCTGCCAGTCGACCGATTAGGCGATTCAGAGAAAGAATGGGGTAGGTGCATTTATGGGTAAGTAGTGGCAGTATAAGTAATAGGGGTTATGTTAAATACCAACTATTTTGACCTTTGCATTGATAAATGTACACAGTAGTATACACATATACATACATACACATATTCATCATCATCATCATGAACAGCCTTAATTTGTCTACCCAGCAGTAGACATAGGCCTCTCCTTAGAGGTTTTGGCCTACTCTACCACGCTGACCGGACGGGTTGGTATAAGATTTGTTTCAAGTTTTCCTTCTTTTTGCAGTGCTGTTGTCCTGCGTAGTTTGTTACCTTAGTCGGCTCTTGCGACACCCATGGGACACCACACGTATATATACATCATATAATAAACTATTATAATTCTAGGTGATAAACTAAGAGCTCGTTGAATCTGCCATTTCACTCCGTAAAAGCGCCGTCACTTTTGTCTTAAAAGAGTATTTGTGTCCACCCTGACTTCGAGAGGAAACGCATTCTTGTATGTTATAAGTGGGTAAAGGATGAGACGCGTCAGCTGATTGTAAATTACTACCAGCTCCCTTGGACACCTGCAAGTCTAGAGGCAGTTGTCACTCTTTGTTTGTTGTTGTTGAGGATTGGGGGGGGTGTTGACCCTCCGGTAACCCGCATCGGTGAAAAGTAGCGAAAGCTTATTTTACAACGGTTTTCTGAAAGGCCGTGGTATATTCGGACCCATATTTGCCGAAGTAAATAACTTGCAGTTTCGGAAAATAGGACTATTTTGTGTTACGGAGCTTTGTTTGGGGACAACTTGACAGGTTACCGAGAAAATTGATAGTCCCGTTCAAAACGACGACGTCACTTAAAATGCAATAGAAATATTTTCACATATCACTATTATTTTATAATTTAAAAAAAAAGACGAGCAGGCCTTACAGTACTAATCCCAACCACGCCCACTACATTAGTATACACCAGGATCAACAGCAGTTACCCACTAACACACCGAATCATCCTCGGGAAGTCCCAGGAAAAGTTAAACTGTCTTGGAACCCGCAAAAAAATTATTCAGAAGTAAATTGGATTAGTTGAAAGTATAAAAATCTACTCAACAGGCCTTAGAGTGTTTGCATTCGATTTGTTAAATCTGAGATCTCACCTGGTCTACCATTAGAAGGCCAACTTTAGAAACCCTTTTGTGTTACACAATACCGTCCCTTTACACGAAATCATTTCCCACAGATTGTAGGAAACCGAAAGGAAATTATGTTACACATCAAAAATATGTTTTTAATAAACTTAATCTGCTCGCAACGACTGTACAATACTGTACATATCCACCACGGATCAGGTGCGCGGGCGCAATTCACGTACTTGGGAGCGCATATCGCACAGTATCTATGCGCACAGTGCAGCATGGCCGCGCGCGGTTACATCGCGTTTTTCGCGCTCCTCGCGTTCGCGACTTCATCTACGTACGCGACTACATCTGCGTACGCGCAGGTCGGTCTTATACTTTGATATTATTGTAGTGATATTTCATAATTTATTTCAGGAATTAATTTTATATGAGAAAATTGTTGTGTTTAAATTACTGTGAGTTTTTTTACGTTACGGTATGCTTTGTGCACAAAAGTTATACTTTAAGTTTACTTAGTATTCCATAATATTTTACACAAAAGTAATAATAATAATAGTAATAATATTCTTGATATGTTAGATAATAAATTTGATTCTCTCTCAGGAGATCATCTTAAACTCAATTTTACTGTTCTCTTGTCTTTTTCTCACTCGTAAATTAATTAAGTAAATATATCAAGTAAGTTTGGTAATTATAATTTAGTAGAAATAGTTGTAGAAATAATTATATTACCACACAAGAAATATGATTCAATAGACACTCTCTCGAATTTTTTTATTCGTCACCAAAATTGTGTTGATCTTGCCTGATACTTTAAAAAAAAAATTGTTATATCAGAGTATTACAGTCAGTTCGAGAGACTTAAGACCTAATGTCTTAAGTCTTTCGAACTGACTTTAATACTCTTAATTAATTCATAATCTTATAATAATAACCTCGCACATTTCACACACGGGCTGTCTAATCCCAAACTAGGCAGGGCCTCTGCTATGGTAACCAGACCACTGATAAACATACTTATATATTTCTAAATACATACATATCATAGGTAAATTACACCCAGACAGAACAAACGACGGTGCTCATCACATAAGTATTCGTTCTGGGTGGGAATTCAACCCACGACCTCTGGCTAAGCATCCGGAATCCCTAGCCACGAGAGCAACAAGTCCTTAAGCTTAATGGATTTATTTTTCATACATGGAAAACTCTTCTAGTAAAACATATTATATAGAGGTATTAAGTAAATTAAAGTATTGTTTAGAAATGCACAATATTGTGGCAGATGTTATTGACGTTAATAAAAACGTAAAGATGGATGTATAATAATATTCAAATGTGTTATAAAAATGTTTTATATCATCATCATCAACAGCCTATAATAGTCCACTGCTGGACATAGGCCTCTCCTTAGAAAGGAGATTTTGGCCTACTATACCACGCTGGCGAGACGGGTTGGTATAGGGTTTGTTTCAAGTTTTCCTTCTCTTTGCAGTGCTGTTGTCTTGTAGTTTGGTCCCTTAGTCGGCTTTTACGACACCCACGGGATGAATAGGGGAGGTGACATTCCGTATTCTTAATCCGTCACCACACGGATTAAAATGTTTAATATATAAATATACATTAGTATGACCGGGATGAATAGGAGTGGTGACACTCTGTGTTATTATTCCGTCACCACATGGAATAGTTTTAGTATTATACTAGCGGAACCCTACCACACTTCGCTGTGGAACATTGTAGTTGCATTTGATGACAAATAAGGAACCAAACTGCCACGAAAAATAGATAAAAATCAAACTTTTAAGCTGGTTGTATGACATTTCATGATCTTAATCTTTGCAGAGCTTTTTGAATTTCCGAAGGGTACACAAATCAACTTAACATCCATACTAATCCATCCTAATATTATAAATGCTAAAGCGTGTCTGTCTGTCTATCTGTAACATGTTCATGCTTAAACCGCTGAGCCGATTTAGATGAAATTTGTTATAAAGATCGACAGAGTCCCGGGAAAGACAGTTTTTATCCCAGAAATCATTATTTAAATGGGTGAATAGGGCGTGGAAGTTTGTATGGGGAATCAATAACCGCTGAACCGCTTTAGATGAAATTTGGTATAAAGATACTTTGATTCTTGAGAAAACCGATATTTACGCATAAGGTCTTGTACTATATACATGTACATTTGTACGAACGGGATGAATAGGGGTGGGTGGTGACATTTTGTATTCTTAATCCGTCACCATACGGAATAATTTTAGTCTTACATTTTTGTTTCAACAGTCGACTCAAATCAAGTTTGAGTGCATTAGGATATCATATTATTCTCACGGGAGAGCTGTATCAGTGTTTTTAGTGCACAGACGGTGTTAAGTGACTCCACTTGGCGAGTGGCCCGTTAGACGAAGTGTCAAGTACGTGTTTCTTTTTACGACAGAGTGTGACGGAGAATACTCTGACAACCGTTATAAAAAGAGAGAAAAAATATAAATAATAAAAACTTAAAATATCTCATACACGACTATCTGATCCCAAACTAGGCAAAGCCTGTAGTATATAGGACTGCTAATATTCATATAATAGAACAAATGATTGTGCTACAATATTTTATCCAGGGTGGTAATCGAACTTACGACCTGTAGATCAGTATTTAGATTCCTTAACCACTAGACCAAAAGGTCCGACGAGCAAGAAATGTTGAATGCTAATGTTGTAAACAAGCATAGCCAATGTTGATCATATTTTGATATAAACAAGAATGCACAATGTTACTTATATTCTGTGAGAAATTATACAGCGCTATCTAGAACTGAAATAACAAACGTAGTGTAGGACGCCCACAGGCCAGGTGGAGTGACGATTTGCGCAAGATGGCTGGCAATAGCTGGATGCGAGAAGCCCAAGATCGATCTAAGTGGCGTGCAATGGGAGAGGCCTATGTCCAACAGTGGACTAGGGCTCTCGATAGGATAGGATGATGATGAACTATATTACATAGGCCCTAAAATACTTGTAAATATAGATAATTAGATATATTATCAGGACAAATATTGTATGATGAGCACGGTCATTTGTTCTGTGTTGGGGTGTAATTTATCTATAATATGTATGTATTTAAAAATATATAAGTATGTTTATCAGCAGTCTGGTTACCATAGTACAGGCTCTACCTAGTTTGGGATCAGACAGCGGTGTGTGAGATGTGTGAGATATATTATATATTTTGGGAGAAAAATGGATAGTGGATATAGATGAACCTACATTAGTGCAAAACAAATAATAATACATTTCACACATCTCACACACCGCAATCTAATTCTAAACTAGGCAGAGCCTATACTATTGTAACCAGACCGCTTATAAACATACTGATATATTTCTAAATTCATACATATTATAGATAAATTATACCCAGACACAGAACAAATGATCGTGCTCTATGCACTTATTTGTCCCGGTTTGGGATCAAACCCACAATTTTTGGTTCAGCAGTCAGGATCGCTAGCCACTGGAGCAATAGCGCCGTGGGCCTCACAGAAAACCTCTGTTACTTTGGGTGGTTTACTCCGCTTGGACTTGGGGCTCACATCAACAGCCTTTAACAGTCCACTGCTTGACATAGACCTCTCCTAAGAAAGGAGGTTTTGGCCTACTATACCACGCTGGCCAGACGGATTGGTATAGGGCTTGTGTCAAGTTTTCCTTCTCTTTGTAGTGCTGTTCCCCTGCATACTTTGTTGTCTTAGTCGGCTCTTACGACGCGCACGGGATTAATAGGAGTGGTGACACTCCGTATTCTTAATCCGTCACCATACTGTGGAGGGGGAGGGAGGGCGAATCAAATGTGGGCAACGCATCCCAAAACCATAAAAAGTGTATTATTTTTATTCTTTATTACCTTTCTGTCTTCATTTACACCACGCCGTATCATATTGATATCGAATTAATAGCGAATATAGCGACTCTTGCGCAACTATTGAAGGTGACTGTGGGAATCAGGTTGCGGTGGGGTAAGACTGACTAACACTTGTGTCTACACAATGAGACAACAGACACATAAGTACATAAGTGAATACTTAGAACATTGACGACCGGTTGGCGTAGTGGTTTGTGTAACGGACTGCTATTCCAAAGGTCGCGGGTTCGATTCTCGCTCATGTCAAACATTTGTGTGCATGAACATTTAATGTTTGATTTAGTCTGGGTGTTTCTATGTATAATATGTATGTATTTACAAAAAAAAAGTATATATGTATTTATATCAGTTGTCTAGTACCCATAGTACAAGCTCTGCTTAGTTTGGGACTAGATGGCGTTGTGTGAATGTGGTAAAATATATTTTATTATATTATTATTAAGTTAGTGACACGCTCTTGATTGGAAATGTACATATTCTGTATAATATGGATGCTACAGGTCGGCTAGGAGTAGGTTAGCACATTGCAACATTAAGTAATCCTAGCCCAGTTAGCCAATGGATGGGTGACCACTCTTAATACATCGAGACCCCTCCTGAGAACATCTCTGGCAATCACTAAGAATAGTTGGAGGCCTGAAAAGTCTGGCAACAGTCTTTCCACAAAACTTCGATATCGCCTAGTACTTGGGTTGTGGAGGTCTGTTGGCAGACCCTCCGCGTAAAAAGTGCAGCCATGTCGTAGTTGACTTAAGGCTGACCCCAACTAAGTTTGTGAAAAAGGTCGGCAAAACAAAATAGATAGACGCGACAGGTCGCTTTCCCTCTTGATAAAGGCCTCCTGTTTGGTTTGAAAGTAACAGGCCGTTTTTAAAAATACAGACGTGGTAAATCAATGAAAGTTAATATCCTGAATTTTTACTATCCAGACCACATTGCTATCTCTTTATGCATTTTTTTTAAACTCAATCGTCTCAACTAAAGCGAGAATTCTATTAATATGGCTTAAAAAACAAACTTTAACTTAAACCTACTTTTAATTTTATTAACTTAAAGAAAGTTAGGAAAATCTATATCGTGGTCACATACAAAGGTATTGATCATTGTAGGTATGTTTAGATTTTCCGTACAATGATAGGTCGAAAACTTAGAAAATAACGAACTTCCTTGCCCTTAAGGGGTTAAGGGCAAATTACCAAGTATTCTTTCCTAGTGGAGCTTACAACATAAAAAGCATCAGTGCCAAAATTTCAAGTTTTTATCCCAGCGGTTTAGGCTCTGCTGATATTAAGCAGTTAGTCAGTGAGTAAAAGTAATTTTATATAAATTTAGTTATTTATATATATACATATTATAAATTTAAAAAATAATATACATAATTTGTAAAAAATACTTTATATTTGTATGATAATATGACCTATATTTGTACATCGTCTAGTGCAA